AGTCGGAAAAATGTTCATAGTATGTTGTACCGTCGTTTGCAACTAACGATGAACAGTCGCTCATAAAAAACATTCGCGTGATTAGAATCTTTAATGTTTGTCAAGAACAACAACACTTAATTGTTGTTTCCCATGTGTGCAATAAAAATAAGTAACAAAACTTTGTCTGAACTTGTTGGGCTAGAGACCTACTGGAAACTTTTACAGGCTTTTTAATGAGAATAGAGAATGGTTTATCTGCAACTGTTCACCCTTAGTTGCCACCGACGGTATTTGACAGCATAAAATTGCCTGTGGCTGTGATAACTGATATAAATAAAATACAGTCTGGTTATACTGACTTGAGCGTGTCATGACAAACTCTTTATTGGAAAATTGTGAAGAAATAGTCGAATATACAGGGTCGAATATCATACTTAAACTTGTATAGCTACAGTATCATTGGTACATAGCGTTGTGAAGACAAGCCTTTGCTTTAATACCTTTCGCTTCAGCAGTCTTTTTTTTCCATGCTTCTCTACGCTTTCCCAGGCGAGCTTCTCTTTCCTCAGCAGTCTCCTCGAGCAAACGTTGTCGTCTTCGTTGGCTCCCTCCTTTTCGCGAGACGTTCGGCTTTCTTTTCGTTTCCTTGCCGCTCTTCATTTGGCTCCATACAGTAGTCCATATCTTTTCAATTGGTATTTGATACCATAATTGTTTTATTAAACTCTTTATAGAGCAAATTGCTTTGAAAGCTGTCAAAGTTTTTTGCAAACGTACAAAATACTGTAGTGCAAAAAGCAAATTATTTTCATGAAGTATCTGTCAGTTGAAGTCGTGATTTGTCATACAACAACAAATTTTAAATTTGACCAATCAGTGTTCGCTATCCATGACAGTCCGCCATCTTTTTGAGATCAGTGAGGATGACCACCCACGCACAGTGAACTCTATATATAGATATCTGGAATGATAACAGCGAGCGAAAAGTGAAGCCGACAAAAAAATCACGACATAAGTATTCGTCATTGTCTTCGTCATCAACTGTTCAAGAACTTTCTTACAGTATTAAAAATCACTTACATATAAAATTTGTAATTGTTTTGAAAGTTTTTATCACAGTTTTTATATCTTTATTCCCTTTTAACCTGAAGATGGAGTTATACTCCGAAACGTAGTTATTAAAATAATTTTTTACTAAGCCCATATGGTCTAATTTATATTCAAACACACGTACATATTCATTTACATTTTGCTGGCAGGCAAATTCCGATCACACAATAAATTTTTTAAAAAATAACGTACCAGTGTATTGACTAAAAACTATAAAACTGGTAAACTAAAAAACAATTCAAACAATCGCGAAAAATGGCAACGGCAAAGTCACAGTTGCAAGTCAATTTACCTACCTGTGAAATGAAATTTTCTCGCAAGAATATCTCCTTCCTTGTGCATCCAGAACGACAGTACGACACAATATATTTGAAAAAGTGATTCTTTTCTCCACACGGTGAAGTTTTCCTCGACTTTTTTCCGACAGCGAACTCAATGCAGTAAATTTTAGGAGCAAAACTGTTTGCTCCTAAAATGTATTGCATTGAGTTGGCCATGTTTTTAATTTTTTTTTCGTGATTGCGTTCAAATTTATACTGGCCGTGCAACGGTTTGCAAGAGGGGGAATGAAACTGACGTCCAATCCGCGTAAACCTGACGTTTGAGGGACTGAGACTGACGTCCAATCCGCGTGAAAGACTGGTATCGAGGCTTCATTTTTTTCGCAATCAAATGACTGAATGTTATCGTTCCAGATATATATATATATATAGAGTTCACTGCCCACGCACAGTGACCCACGCCCGCGATATTTGATGAACTTTAGACTTGGCTAATGCTTTCGTTTCCCCGGGTGTAAATAGCCGGGGGGAATTAGTACCCTCGCACGGCGCTTCGCGCCGCCGGCTCGGGGACTAAAAAGTAGCATTTCTTGGTGCGGAGACTCTCACATGTGGGAGAGGCGCTTCCCCCCTCCCCTCCCCCCAAATGGCGTGAAAATCGGCCGTTAGAAAGGCTAATTGACTGGATTTTTAGACGTATTGAGGATGATAAAACTTTTAATGCAGGAGTTAAAGCGGTTGGAGTTGGCATCAAAGCATTCGCGTACGGACGCGAAAAAACTTTTAAAATATTACCACAAACTGACACAAACGCAGTTTTTAATCCAGTCGCCCGCAGCAATCTGAAGTCTGAGTTGACAAAAAAACGTCGCTTCCTTAACTTCTTTATTAGCTTAATAACTTAAGGAACAACCAAAATTGTACTTACAACGCAATAAAAATTACCAAGAAAACTAGTTTGGACGGGATTTAAGTAGCTAATTGTATAAAATCGCATACCATACGTGGCTTGACGCGAATACGTCATGGAATGATAGAAAAATTATGGCATTTGGCAGAAACATTAGTTTCAATTTTCTAATTCCCCATGGTAACCTAAAAGCCAGGGTGACTGATGCCCTATTTGGAGTACTGGCGCTCCGATTACCATATCGCTTGGGTGGGCATTTTTAATCTTTGTTGCTTCTTTGTCTTATTTTTCTTGTATTTTCCTTGCGTATGTTTCCACGTTACATGTATTTTATATCTTCTTATTTGCCGTAATCCGTCATCCAAATTATGACAACTGAGTGTTATAACTGGTACGTTTCCATGATCGCGAATATGTTGCTCGCCATGAATTGAATAATTAATTTCCGTTTTGTATATTTTCTATCATTTGTGCTTGGGTATGTAAAGAGTTTGACTAATGGTCGCGGGTAAAAAGTCGCGGGTAGTAAAAAAGCTCTAAACCGTGTATTTTATTGAGTCGCGGGTTGAATAAAGTGTGTAAAAATCACATTAACATTTACTTATTTAATGGTTTTTATCAATAGTTGTTCGAAGATGTTATGGCTGTAATTGCAAGTTTCTAGATAAATATAAACAAGAAGCATATAACGTTATTGTAAAGCACGTTGATAGACGGTAATGCAAAAGGATCCTGTTACACATTCCTATGTTTATAGTTCTGATTTTAGTAATAAATATTACCATCCAATTTCTACCATATCAGGCGTAAAAATCCGCTATTCAGTGGCCAGTGCGCATTGTCGTCAAGCCTCTGCGCATCGATCAGTATTTTCCAGAAACAAGTGCTAGAGAACAGCGACTTAAATATCCGGGTTGTTGGTGAATCATAATGTACTTTTATAATGTCCTAGCATGGATATATCTATTATTTGTGATACTATATGGTTGTTTTTAAATTTGTATAAAACTGATTGTAATAGTAGTGGTAAACTGAATTTATTTCTACCAAAGTCTTGCCTTGTTCCTTTCAGAACCTATTTTTTGATTAGGGGATTTTTGTCATGGTATAATTGTTGGTTTAACATATTGAAATTATTCTTTCAAGTTTTAGGCTTCTGGCACGTTGTTTATATAGAACCATTAAATCATGACAAAAGGCTCTTGGGCAATATTTCGTATTGAAGCAATCCTATATAATTATAGTTGTTTACTAATTGATAACGTGATTTTACACACTTTATTCAACCCGCGACTCAATAAAATACACGGTTTGGAGCTTTTTTACGACCCGCGACATTTTACTCGCGACCCGCGACATTCTACCCGCGACACGCGACTTTTTACCCGCGACCATTAGTCAAACTCGTATGTAAATTACAACCTCGCAAGTCAGGCTCTCTACTTCCGCTTCCCTCCCTATTAACACGCTCCAGCAGAGACTCCGGTGGGAGGGTAGGCTGAAGTATGTGAAATGCAAAGAATAAGTTTCTAGGGGTGTTTATTTTGAATATCGTACATTGTATTGATCAAAATGTATAATAATATGATTTACTTTAGTTGTTTAGATCTTTGTACTGGGAAATGTATAATCGATTCTCCGATATCCAGATAAAAACAACCCGCTTTAATTTAATGACTGATTTCGTTTTAAAACAAATTCTAAATTTACCGCCAACAGCATGTAAACAAAAGTATAATGATTCATTACGCGAGTAAGCAAACTGTTGCTAGAAGGAAAGCTCGCGATACATCAGAATGAGAAGACGGCTTGGAAAGAAGCGATCGCTTTCGGTAAAAAATGGTAAGACTGACTCCTGGCGGGGAAATATGGAGATATATCGCCAGCAGACGATTGAGAAAGGAATTTCCATATGTCCAGAGAACGGTTGCGATTTTTTCATCGCATTACTGTTATTTCTATCCGCCATTATGAACAACACGTGTAAACATGAAAGAGTAACGCATGCGCGAGTCAGATTTCTTGTCCCGCTTTGCCGGGCCAACTCGACAGAAAATAGATATGGATAAAACTGAATATATGGTAATAGGATCTAAGCAAAAAATATTAAATACCCAGCAAGAGACTACAATTAAACTGCAAGATAAAGAGTTGAAACAAGTAAATTGTACAAAAACCCTAGGTATAATTGTAGATGAAAACCTTTCATGGAAGGAGCAAATTTCAAATATTATTACTAAAGTTTCCCAAGGCGTTGGCTTATTGCGTAGAATAAAAAAGTTTGTTCCTCAACAGACTGTGATTAATGTATACAATTCCGTGATCCTCCCCTACTTTGACTATTGTAGCTTGGTGTGGGAAAACTGTGGAAATTGTTTGCTTCAAAGATTGCAAAAAATGCAAAACAGAGCAGCAAGAGTAATTACCGGAAAGTCATATGAAATAAGATCTGGTGAAATATTAAGAGAGCTTGATTGGCAAACATTAGAAAAGCGAAGGAAGTGTAACAAAGCCATATTTATGTATAAAACCAAACACACCAATGAACCTCCGCAATGTATGGCCAACTTAACCTTTTTAATGTGAAAAATAATTATAAGTAATAGCATGGCATTCAGGGCGATTAATTAGTGATTAAATGTACCCGAAAGCCGAGAGAGGTGGTTTAGTAACAGTACCGAGGCGCGTAGCGCCGAGGGACTTTTACTAAACCTCTCGAGGCTTGAGGGACATTTCATCACTAACCGACCGTAATGCCATGCTATTACTTTGTAATATAATAGTTGCCGAGGGAATCGCGCGTGGTGTGTTGCCTGTTTTGAATGCTGTTTGATTGTCTTATGATTGTGGTACGAACACTTTTCATATATACGCACGCGCAGAAACACATCTCCGTGTTCATTCGTTTTAGGCATGCGCATAAACGGAATTTTCTCCCACAATTGTAATGTTCAAGATTAGGGAATAAAAGCTGGCAAAGTGATTGTTCGTATGTGTACGGGATGGTGTCGTCAGATACTGTCCATAGTTGTGCCGATGATTTTCGATGAGGTACAGCTCTCCAATCAGAGGTAATGAGGTGGAAATTAGAAGACAAAGAAATCCTTTGTTTTCAACTAAATTTCCCGGGGAAATTTAGTTGAAAACAAAGGATTTCTTTGTCTTCTAATTTTCCCTTGCATGCTTGATGAGGGAAATTTAAAAGACAAAAACGTATGCATGGGTAATGAGGTAAATTAGTGATTAATCGTACCTCGCGAGACAAAGGATTTCGAGGCAACTATGGTATTACACTAGGTATAATCTTCATAGTAACAATATCGATTTCTCATTGGAAATGCCAAGAACTAATATGATGAAAAGAGGTATAAGTTATTCAGCTGCAAGCTTATGGAATCGATTGCCTGGGTTTGCGAAGTTGAGTAATGTTCCACTATATAGATTTAAAGCTATTCTCCGGGACAGTCTAACTTAACTCTTTCTCGACATGCGACATTTTTCACGGCAAGGAACATTTTGATTCAACTGTTTTATAACGTAAATATTTCAGCGTGTATTCACCCCCCTTAAAAACAAAGAACACCATTGAAATCCTAGCAAAATAAGCTTTTCATCGGGGGGTCTAATGCCATCAAAACAAATACACAAACTGAAACAATCATATATTTACTCACCGCTTGGCCAAACATTCCGTATTTTCATATGGAGAAAAAGTTGAATATTTTCTAAACTTTTCAGAATTCGCCACAAGTTAATATTAGTGAAATATTCCTTGTATTCAAGCGCTTTTATGTAGAAAGTTTCGTTCGAATACGGCGAGTAGAAATGTTTATTTGGAATTTTTTAGTATATCGGGTTTCATCGGGTTTTTACTCGCACGCGCGTGCTGCATGTAAAATTGACCAATAAGGAGTATCCCGTAGCCCCATGCACGTGAAAATCACGCTACAGATGTAATTTGACCTTTAGAATCGATTTCCGATGTTTTCCGAGCGCTAGGATGTAAACACGCGATGTTTTGGGCGATCTAATGTGTATTTCCGGTTAAAAATATCCCGCTGATTTCATTAGTTTCGCAACAGATTGAAATACCGAAATAAAAGACGAAAAACTAAGGCTACAAGCTTGAAAATAACACTTTCAATAGTGTTTTGGATTCTGTTTCGAATAAGACTATAGCGAAAACGATATCTCAAAAGGGGCCGAAGTTATGTTCGGCGAAAGGTATGGATAGTTTACATTGTTCGAGACAATTGATTAATATAATGAAATATGACACTGCTTGACCTGTCAAAAGGTCATAAATAGTTATACAATTTCGCTAAAACTATATTTGACTAAAACTATCGATAGGTATTAGGAGATATTGTTTCACTGAATCGAATGGTGGTATTTTTATCTACATAGCGTGCACTAAACTGGAGATATGAATCGGCGAAGTGTCATAGTACGTGCACGTACTACGTTTATAGGGGCCTGCTTTTAAAGAGTTTAACTTGATTATATGAATTGTAAATAGTTGATAAGTGTGTAATTTTAATAATTTGAGTATTTAGTATAGTTTTTTTTTCGTAAAATAGTATCTAAGTGTGTAAATAGGTGTGTAAACGGCCCCTTGAAAAGCAACTCCCTACGTGGGTTGAAGGGTTACCGTTTTTAAAGATGATTAAATAATAATAATAATAATAATAATAATAATAATAAAGTGATTACATGACAATTTTCATCCCGCCTAAGCGAATTTCTCGGCGAGCCACAAGCGGGATCCCTGCTAAGCTCGACAACTCGCTTGCCATGTAATCGTAATGTTAAAATAATAGGGAATAAATATATGAAGCGGGTCAACTTTTAATACACAGTCACAGATTCGCAATCATATACAAATCCTGGCAGTAGTCTGTAGTACGTTTCGCGATGCATTAATAATTGTGAAATATAAAGTGGACATCGAAATACAAACAGCTCGGACATGAAAGTGGGATAGCAAAAACAGTTATAAAACGTTTTAATCATTTTCTAATGAGTTAAATGGTACGACACTTTATATATCTGGCTCTGTGTATTAAAGTGAACAGCAGCTGAAATCTGAATATAGGCCTATAAAAGAAGGTGTAGCAAAACAATATCGTAACTGACATACAGCTGAGTATAATCACGGGAAAACGCTAATCATATTTTATTAATCATATTATATATTACTATACTATACTTTACTGATCATTTACATTCGTAATGGTCAAAGTTAATTGCCTTTAAATATATACGTTGAGTCAAGGTCGGCGAGAGCCAGGCCTCGGGACAAATGACGATTGGTGAACACGGGCCCCCTGACCCCCTCAACTATCTCGCTGGCTATTTTTAATCACAATCAACGAGAAAATTGCCAGCGGACTACTTGCAAGGAATCGCCGCATAACTCATGATAAAAACGCAGCGTGAACGATGTTCAGCTAACTGTTTTTGCTGAGAAAGCGATCGAAAAATCGTTTATTTCACATTTGGTACGTTTTACGATCGATCACGACGATCAGCGGATAGTGTGCAAGTATAGGTGTATTTCATTTAGGACAAACATAAAGCAATGATAAACAATACGAACATTTTATCGAGATTTCCTGGCCTCTTTGAGCTCTCCGGGCCCTGGATATTTAGCTTCCGCCCCTTCCCCCCTCTCGCCGGCGGCTTTGCGTTGAGTATGAGAAAATATATATTGGTTGGAAATAGATTTGGCTGCATGACGCTTCTCAGTTATAAAATTCACAAGTCGAAAACATTTAGTACAAAACAACATAGGATACAACAAAGGCTTGCAAAGCCTTGGAATTTTCGACATGCATGAATTAATACTTGGTTTACATCATAACTCTGTTAACAGGCTATACATTTTAGTTACCTTTGTGTCCATGGAATGTGGGTCATCCCGAATTTTGAAGAATAGGGTCAGGGAATTATAAACAAGCGTTGGCCGATTGTCTATCTAGCCGAACACAAAGACAGTTGCAGTTTTATTTCCTTTCTAATTATAATTGTAGTCCTCTAATTGTAAAACATATTGAATTCTGAGTGTTCTGAGCCATCTTAGGCTTGAAATACAGAACTATGTAGATGACTCCAAAATGTCTTCTGCGAAGAACCGCGCGCGTGTCACAGAGTCAGTGATTCGCATACGGCAATCGCCTGATTTATTGCCTTTGTTTTGGATTATCTTTGGCAGTTTCACCACAGGGGGCCCCACTATGAGTTATGATTGAAATAATATTGTATTTATTTTTAAAAACCTACTTTAATCCCTTGATAATCGATTATTTCTTCTCTCGAAGTTCTGTAAACATTTTGAACTGCTTGCAGTCATCATACTATCACTCTACATGACGTTTCACGAAGTATAGATGATCGCTGACAAGTAAGAACGCGGGTGCGAAAAGACAAAGTCGGCGAAAGAAGGGAGAACTAAACTAAAGGGTTGAAACTTCGGCGGGTCATCGTTTGATGTGTTCCATAAGTAGGTTGTTCTCCTGCAATTTCGCACGGGGCCCCAATGTGAGTTAGGATTGAAAAAATATTGTATTTATTTTTTAAAAACGTACTTGAATCCTTTGATAATCCATTATTTCTTCTCTCGAAGTTCTGTAAACCTTTTAAATGGCTCGGACTCGTTATACTTGACGTCACGAGAACAACCTACTTATGGAACATATTGTGCGAAAAAACCCTTCGAGTGTTTCATGTAAAAACATACGAAAAATCAATCGTTTATTGAATCTACTACATCAGTTGTGAAGATATATCCAAAAAGACATAGGATCTGAAAAAAAATATTCGAAAACACCGATAAATTGTGAATTTTAAGGCATTTAGAAATGTCATCTAGTCGACGTTTCGACCCTTTAGTTTAATTCTTCCTTCTTTCGCCGCCTTCGTCTTTTCGCGCCCGCGTTCTTATTTGTCAGCGATCATCTATACTTCATGTAGAGTGATAGTATAATGATTCAAGCAGTTTAAAATGTTTACAGAATTTCGAGAGAAGAAATAATCGATTATCAAGGGATTCAAGTAGGTTTTTAAAAATAAATACAATATTATTTCAATCGATCATAACTCATAGTGGGCCCCCCTGTGGTTTCACTTTTCCTTTATACAGTATATCGAATTACAATCCTTTCAGAATGCATTTACTGTGAACTGTGAACGATGATTTACTCCTCCCTAAGTAACATACAAGGCGCTAATTAAAAACACCCCAAATTCTGGGGTGTCTCGTGACTAGCCTGTACCAGGGTCTTTGCTGGAGCGTGTTAAGCCGGTTT